ACTGCTTCCATTCGGTGCAGTAACACGCCCACAATTAACGATAAAAATCGATCCAATAAGCTTACGACTGAATGGGAAATAAATTGGATTTGGAAAATTTCACCGTTAATTGCGGGCATCTTAGTAAGACACTTAGATCAATCTTTGCACCAAATATGCCGATGGTTCTAACGAATCTTTCGTTAGTAGTCTATCAGAAATACATTCGTAGAATCGTAAGTTATAGACGAAAACATGAAAAAATGATCGGTCTCATCGACGACTGTTTCAGTTTCTTCTGCACCTATTTTTTAAGCTTTTATTTCCCATCGATCAGGGAATGTTGCGCCAAACTTCAATTTCCTATTTTCATTGTTCTCAAAATGTAACCGTTAAAGGGGAGGGTTTTCGTAAAAATAGGTACACAACGTAAGATTTACATTGAAATAGCACAAATGGGCGTGGCTCAGAAAAATAAACTAGATATACCAGTACAACACGCGATTGCGCTGCATTTTTGAAATTAAAAAGGATTCAATCTAATTTTAAGGATAGGGGAAATAGTAGTTAATCCTTGGTTCCATTTTTGAGCTTCTCTGAGATAATTGCTTTGTAACAATCATTGAGTTTTACCCAAAATCAAATACCATTTTGCTTTGAGTCGCAGATTCATTAAAACACCCTCATTCCGTTTGGCTAAGGCTTCGCAGATGGAAATTCCATCCATCATGTTTTTTCTGTTAATTGGTGTGGCACCCAAACATCGAGCTTCTTTTTGAATCCAACTTTGTGTAAATGGTTTAACACTGTTTTATGGTCGATTTTTAGCTCCTGGGCGATGTTACGACTGCTAACATGCCGGTCAACTTCGATCATTTCTCCGATTTTATCGACATTTTCGACGACCGGCCTACCTGTGCGAGGTGCATCTTTAACATCAAAAATTCCTGAACGGAATCTACGAAACCAAAATTGCACATAATTGGCTGTTACAGTATCGGAACCATAAACACCATTCACAATTTAAGCCGCCTGGCTTGCATTTTCGCCTTTGTCAAAGAAAAACTGTAAAATGTACCGAATTTTCTCTTTATATTTATTAATTTTCCCGGCTATACCTACCGCGGCCTTGCGTTTTCCATAATTTAAAGTTTACAGAAGATAGAGAACAGTCTAGAGCGTAATAGAAATATTTTTGAGAAATAGTTAAAATTTTTGTACATCATGATGAGCCTAAAAATGCTTTAAACATGTAATTTATAGCACATATTGATCTAACGTTTAATATTAACACTTCGGCGTAGTGGTGAGGAGGAAAGTAATCCGAATGGGGTAACTGAAACGCCTACAATTAAAGAAATACATTTTTACATATATCTAGTAGACTCGACATAGAGAAGGCATCAATGGTTGGTTGGCCTTTCTAGCTTTCTTCTCCCCGTTTACTATTGAATCCTTTTTATCACTTCTCAAGCTCTCAAGTGCTCTCTTTTAGAGTTTTCGCGAGTAACATTAGGCGGTTTTTTTTCTTTCTTTAACCCTTCTTTACTATTTTCAGATTTGGAAAAGAAGAAGGCAGAATATTTCTCAAAGATTTGAAGATTAATCGTCTCTAATAACTCAGAATTTTTTCTCTTGCTTACTCAACCAATCCGTCGCTAGACGGAGGATGTGTAATATTGATCAAATTTATTGGGCCTTTTCTGCATATACGGATACAAAAACGCCTGTCAGCAGATCGATTTGCATTTTTTTTTTTAATATGATGATAGACGATATTAAGAGATTCGATCAAAGCCGAATAAAACTTTATTGTGGATTTTTTGTATTATTTGACTTACGTTGTTCATATGCTTGGATTGTTCTAAGAAGAGAAAACATTTTGAAATTTATTTTATTTAAAAAAAAAAATTCTTTTTTGAATAAATATTTAACTTGAGTTAAGTAAACCCAGACAATTTTCAGACTGAAAACAAGAGACATACACACACTTCATATAATTAACACAATTAACGGCATGGGACTGATAATTATACATATATATACGTTTGCATGTAAGTGAGCTCCACTGCGAAATGTATGATGATAGCAATAATGAATGGTGACCTTAGAAACAAGTTCCGTCTGAATGCCAGCAATAATAAAGTGAAACAAAAAAAGCACTTTTTTTATATGTTTAAGATAAACATGTTTCCAGTTAATGAAACAAGAACAAAAATCAAGTGAAGGCAGTTTATAAAAAAAAAAAAAAAAAAAAATTCAAACACAAACATATATAAGCATATTAAAAGAATATTAATTCATATAGACCTACTGAATTCAACTTCCTTTACAAATGAATTTCAATTAGATATAAAAATAAATTAACATTTTTAGAAACTAACCAAAAAAAAAAAAATAAATAAAATTAAACTAATACTTGTAATAAATAAAAAATTGAAAAATTTAATAACAATACTAAAAAAAAAAATACAAAAATACTTTGTTGACCTTGTTTAGATCGTTTTTTTAAGCAAAAACGAAAACCTGAGATATTTCCGCAACGCTCTCCGGATTGCTTTTAAAGGCCATTTATTTTATAAATGTGTCAAATTAAGCATTTAGTTTGACATTTATTAACACATCTCGTAAAGAGAATTAATGCAAAATAAGAAATTATAATAATAACAAATAGAAAGATCTTTATAACGAATCTTAAATACCCTTCATCTAAAATCAGCTGTGCAAATACATTTTAACTGTCCACAATAGTCCATATGCTGATCAAGAGCACACTCGTCAGCATCATTCTATTCATATCGACATTGCCAGAGTTAATAGATATATATCTTAATTTTCATCTTTCTTTAAAAATTTCGAGCATATTAGCGGAACGGATTTACAAATGTGAGAAGAAGGCAAGCGTTTTCTTTCAACTTTCCAAATAAGCGCTTTTGACTAGGTTAACTAGGAATGAAACTGATAAAACTCTTGGCGTCGCAATCTTCCACAAAAACCAAAAAATGTATATGTTTTTATTCTATAAGAATTCCATGTAACATACTATATCAAACGTAATGATTGAATCAATATAACGCTTCGCTCTGGTAATAAATACGTACTGCAGTGTAATAATCTATGATATGAATGTAAGGTGAGCGAAATTGAAAATGTTAGAAAGCGCATTCTCGAGTTCACTGTTAAATGAAGAGATGGCAAGAAAATGCTGTGATAAAAAGAGAAAGAGAGCGAGAGAGAGAAAGAGAGAGAGAGAGAGAGAGAGAGAGCATAAAGTATCAGACAATATAGTTACAATACGATAAGCAATTAAATATTAATGTAATCAAGGTAAATTGATGTAAGAAATATTTTACAAATTAACATTTTTTCAAATCTGATTTAATTACTTCTCTTCGATATAGTTTTCATTTAACTTTTCAAATTGACTTTTATCGAATGAAAACAAAACAAACACAATTCAATCGATTGCACGTGAATTTAAGTTCTCTATGTAACTACAGTAAAAAGAGAAAGACGGAGAGAGAGAGTGAGAAAGAGAGAGAGAGAGAGAGAGAGAGAGAAAAAAAAGAATGCGTACTAAACAACCACTTGACGTGTGTGGAGACGATATGATTACTCACTCCTTAAAAAAAATTTCATGCCAATAAAATGATAAAAAAAAAAATGGTCAGACATATGCAACAAACATTTAAGGTCTAATTATAGAAACTTGACAAGAGTTAACATAGCTAAGCATACTAGAGCAAGACATTCATAGAAAAGGCTTTTTGGAAATAAAATATGTAAAAGAGCAGATCGTTTCATGTAAGATATAAAACAAAATTCTCTGGATTGTTTTAATTTACAAAACTTTGTTTAACCTAAATACTCAAAAAAACATGTTATGTATATGGTCGGAATGGCTGGATGGTGAGTGTTTACGTCAAGTTATGTTAAGTTTCTACAATTAAGCCTTTATATTATTGGGCTATGCATTTGTTGCTCTCGCCATATAAGCGAGCTGCATGCGAAAGTTATAATTGCAGCTCTTTCACCATATAGAAAGTAAATTTTACTCTCAGAAAATAGATTTTACTCTCAGCACAAAAACATTTGCTGGTTAAAGAGCCCAGCCATTTGTTTCGTTTATTTCATTTGCTTTTTTCTTTTCAATTTGCTGAGAGTAAAATTCTATTTTTGAGAGTAAAATTTACTTTGCTACTTTTCCCGTGCATTTGTTATCGAGGCCCTGAAACAATGCTGAGAATAATAAATTCTATTTCTGAGAGTAAAATTTACTTTGCTGTCTTTGCCGTGCAAAAATACTGCAAATAATAATAAAAGTTATAAATGCTCGCGAATCATTGTAACGAGCGCAAGTTTATAGAGTTGTGTTTTATTGTAATGTAATACTACAAAAAAAAAAAAAAAAAAAAGAAAATTTGAAGTGCAATATTTAAAGAAAATTTTTGTAGTATTAAACCAAATTCATTAAATAATTTAAAAGCAAAGTGCCACCTTATCAATATTCTAAAGACAAAATTGTTTAATACGAAAATCAATTTTAAATAATTCTACGCTGGAATTCTAAAGAAAAATTGTGAAAGAAGTTTTTACTATCGGAGACATGTGGAAATATATATATGTATAAATATATGTATATATATATATATTTATACCAACCTATATGTATATGTATATATATAAATATATATATATATATATTGATTTTCTGATATAAAGTAATGTGTGACACACGAATAACCAGATGAAAATGTATGAAGCAAAAAAAAAAAAAACCAGTATGTGGAGAATATAATGTAAAGAAATTTAAGACAATTTAAAAAAAAAAAATAATGCAAAAATATTTAAAGAGAGATCTTTTGTTTAGAGATATATGGAGGAAAATAATTTGTAATAAGGGGAGGAGCGTATTTAAATGAAAGATATAAATAAAATAAAATTTTAGGAAAACATAATTTTCATTAAATATTTGAAGTCGCCAAAACAACATCAAACAGCCGAAAATTGTGTATGTACGTATGCTCGCGTATTTGTAATAAATATTTTAAAACTAATTATAGGGCACACAACAGCAGAATGGATTAAACATTGTGATCAGAGTGAAATTTTGTGATAATTGTAAACGACGCTACGCGCGCGTTACATCATTTACACAAAAGCACGCAACAACAGTGCAAAGCCTACCCAAAACCATACAAAACACAACACACCAAGCCATACCACCACAATAGAAGGTAAAAGAAAAAAAAAAGAAAGAAAAGTGCAAGAGACCAGACGCAAAGTCAAAAGCAGGAAACACAAGCACCAACAACAGAAATTTGTGCATGCACAAAGTTTCCATGAGTGAGCATAAGTTAGGAGCTAGATTTTGGCACTAGTTACTATACAATATTCTCTCGTTTTTTTTATTTTTTTTATTCTTATTCTCTTTTTGTGTTTTGGTTTTTTTTTCTTATTTGTTTTTTTTTTCTTTTCTTATTTGTTTTTTTTTTTTTTCTTTTCTTGTAAAAAAGCTTTATGAAGATAAGCTCTTCGTTTTTGCATTAAATAAAGCTCTCAGTTAACGTAACAGCTAACACTCGCTCTCAACACTTAGCACATGTAGTAAAGTAGAAATGTTCATATCTGTTTCGTGTAAAGAGCTAAAGAAATGAGTGAGAGCAAATAAAGTTTGGGGAGAGGGTAGAAGAGCAAGATAAAGTAATGCCAATCAATGTATTTAAAAGAAACTGTAAAACTTTATGTTCACACAGTTCACATTCAAATCACAGAGTTTGGAGATGTCGCAAGATTGTGTCTTGCATATCGGTATATTTTATCTAATTTAAATATTAAAAATTAAAAAGAAGATATAAACTTTGATTTAATTTATTATAAAAGAAATATAAAAATTAATATGAAATGTCAATCTGTCTGCGTTCCTGTATTTAAACATTCCTAAATCTAAAGCACTAAAAGCAATTATTTAAGAAATAATTTAATTACAAATTTTGTGAAAATCGTATAATATAATAAAAAAAAAAATAATCGAAATTTATCTTAAAATTAGCATTCGTTAAAAAGAAGACGGCTTGACATAAAAGAAAAAAAAAAATTTTTTTTTGAATAATTAAATAAACTTTTAGTCCAAATATCGTAAAAATCGAATCAATCCCTCCTAAGCCTTTTTCCATTTTAAAACAAAAAAAAAAAAACAAAAGAAAAAAATTTATAAAAATTTTGGAAACTACAACAAAAACAACGATATCGCAACCATAAACAACAAATTTTTTTAAAATAGAAACGGATTAAAAAAGAACACTTTTTAAATATCCTTTAAATTATAAAACGTAAGTGTTTACTTTAATTGCTAAGAAACATTGTCAAAATCTTTCAAGTACCTGTATCATATTTAATTGGAAAATATTACCACAAAAAAATAAAAGTTTCGATCAGGATAACCAAGCAACAATCACTATTGAATAATATCTAGCTTTAAAACCAAAGCCAAAGGCGCTGAAATTTCCGCACAACATACCATCAATATTACAGCCAAAGTCTAATAGTCTTATCTCAAAATAGGAAAAAAAAAACAATGATATCCATCGTGGACGCATATTATATATTTGGTTGCAACATTCTCAAATAGGCATCGCGAAACGCCAAAAAGGTATATAACTCTGTCTCTGTCTCTGTCTCTATTCACCCAATCTTGCAGAAGAATAAGAAGAATGCAAATGCAATAAATTGGTTAAAAGCAATCGTAACTGTTTATAATGGGTCATTATTGCAACTAGATTGATTAACTTAACAAAGACGCAAACAACAAAGCTAAACGATAAACTTATTAGGAATAAACCTTTAAAGTCCACCTATTAGAATCGATGAAAACTCACACAATACAATTCAAACACAGCTAATGACAGTTTAGACATATAACCGATTTTTGCATATTCGAGTCCTGCATAAAAGAAAAGAAACGACGAAACATACTGTGTGTCAAGATTTAATTTTAATCAGAAATGCGATCGAATGGAAACGCTAACGGACTTAAAGGCTTCTACTTATATACCTTAGACAATAGTCTTGAATTAAATAATTCAGTTTTTCTTTTTAAAGTTATTTGACGTGAAATATTTGTGTATTAGATCTATTCGATCTGTTTCTCATATGTGATCGAGTTTGATGCACTCTTTTCTCTTTGTTGTAAATAGATTCTTATCTTGCACCAAGGACAGTAGGAAATGTGGCAGTGATAAAATGGATTTGAAAAATGAAAAAATCGTAATATAATCTACATTACGTTGTAATACTGTCAGCATATGGAAGTGGTGAACATCTAGCGACTACCAACTCGGCATATCCCGATTCAAATCTCTTTGTGCTAGGATCATATTTTACTATACACGACAGATGTGCGTGGCTGTAGCTGTAGTGAGTCTTCGATAGGTAAATGATAGGTAACATTTACCAATCAGAATGTGCATGTATATGTGCTGATCTGCAAAGAAACTTAATCTAATCATGGATTAGTATCTTCGATTGATAAATAGAGATAACGCTTCTACATATCGATGTTTTTATATGGAGATTAAAGAATTTGTAGATAAAAATCGTATATTTAAGCTTATATTGTATTAGTGTTAAATCTTATGGGATTTCAAACATAAGTGAAACTAACAGAATAAACATAAATAAGTGATCTATTTATTAATAGGTGAGAATTAAAAGAGAGAAAATTGAAGATTTTTGAAAGTCCACAAAAGAAAAGCACAAGCGAAGCAAAGATGAAGTATCGCAACTGTTTTATTAGAAATAAGACAGATTAGGGAAAACAACGTGCCTTGCTCCCAAACCTTACTACTGGCCGCATCTGAGCTGCAACAGAAAACTACAAGAAATACAACAAGAAAGGAAAAAAATTATCTTATTCATTACATTTCGATCTTTACACTATCATCGAACTCCTCGATCAGTTAATGCAGTGCCGTAACGAATGGGGATAACTTTCAAAAGATAGCGAGAGAGAGAGGAAGACAGTTTCAAAATGTTTCTTCAAGAAAAACTATTGACTTTAAAATAAATCTTATCCGGCGAGTAGGCAAGAGTCTCGACTAGCAACTCAATGGTCGTGGATTTAAATGTCAAGGGCGGTATAGTTTTTAATAAAGCGAAAAGCTTTACATGCTAATGCTTTAAGAGTTTGGTCTTAGAATTTATTCTCTTGTTAAATATATAATAACAACAATAATAATAAAAACTAACCTCAGCTGCATGAATGAATCCAGTGTCAGAAAGCAAAATTTTTACTTGAAGAAGTAGCAAAAGACGTACAGAATATGTCTGTAAAGAAAAAGGCCCATAAGTCTTTTTCGGGGGATAAGATGTCTCAACTTTAGATATCTTTTCACGATCCACTCACAATCCAGGACACGTCCCCTGTACGTATATACAGACGACGATGGTAAGGGAGAAAGGAGTGAAGAAAGGCATTCTATTTATTTATTTATCTATTCAAGCTGCTGACACCTCGAACCCATTAAGGCCTATTATAAGAGATTACAATGTCTACGATTTGCCTACCAAATGTCTAGCATTTTCTACGGTGTTCAACTGGGAAGTGAAAGCACTGTTTATGCCGAAATGATAGTCACGCTCCTTATTTGCTAGACCATACGCTGGTAGCCTAATATTCAAATTTTAATGCTATCATTGTAAGATAACACAAATTCATATACATTTCGATTAGAGAAATCGCATATATACTTTATGGGAACTGTTGAATTGCTTTTGAAGGAAATCAGTAAAAAGTATGTTTTATTTATTTTGGCACTGATTCCGAAATTTTAGCTTCAAATTTTTGATTTCACTCGCAAAACTTATTGCATTTTGTTTTCGAGGGCAATGAAAGACCTACAAGTCTTTATCTTTTGTTTTTAATTTATAATATTCGGAAGAACATTTACACAAATTAAGCAACAAAGTCATTTCGTAATTAATAGGCAGGCAATAAACAAATTCCAAAGCCATTATCGAATGGATAAAGTTTTCATTTGTATTAATCAATTAACTCACCAGGCCATGACACTTTGCATCGCCAAAAACTATTCTCTATTGTTCTGCTTGCAATGCATATGTCCTTAATCGGGCAAGATTTTCTATAAATTTGTTCATATAAAATTTTTGAATTTTCTCTATCCCTTTCAATCACTTCATATTATTTGCGATTTATGTGTGTGATATGTTAAAAATTCGACAATATGTAAATATAAGATTTATAATGCATGCCTATAATCGCCAGGACCATGACATGGACTCGCGAACGAAAGCCTACCACGGTTTGCCTTTACTGAGGACGTGGTTGGGAAAATGATTTCAAATCTAACCAACTAACCGTTGGACAACGCCTTAGAACGGATGATGGACTCTGTCTTTATCGGCCTAGATGGATAGGTGTTACAGATGTTGTTGTAGCCTTAGTGGGAGAGAGAGTTAACATAGTTAGCTATCCTTTAAAACACTGATATGCGCATATGTACATGCGTTTGCAAGGCGGCCTGTAAGTCTGCCTCATTAGATTATCTGAATGTAACAAGCATTTTTGCTAATCATCAATCAGTTATCTGCATCGATTTGGATTTCCTTTATCGAAAACTATTAAGCTGAGCTTTTACCCCATTCGACTTTAGTAAGTAAAGCAAGCAAGATGGCTGTATCATCATTTTACTTCGTACTTATATCGCAGACGTGATCGAAGTGCAAAAAATCCAAACAAACGGATCTTTTTTCATTCGGAAAGTATTAAATGAATTTGATAAATATTTCAATAAAATATCAAAGCAATTATCCCAGAGTGCTGCGAGTCCAGAAGGCCTAAAATAAAAATTTGCATCTTATTAAAGCGAACTTTAAACGAAACGAGAAAGAAGTAATTTTGAACTAATTTTATAATTGCCTTAATTTTAATTAATTGTGGTTGTCGTTTAAATTTGTCGTTTAATCTCTACACCCCATTTTACGGGCGAATCATATTTGATTGCTTACTCTCTGAGTAGATTGAATATAAGTGAAAAATCGAATCGTATAAAAATTTCTTGTTGGATACTTAGTACAAGTGCGATAAGCTATATCGGTGTCCCGTTCAGATTAGTTAAATGCGCAAAATATTATCTGCAAAAGTTTTAAAGCTTAAGAGTTTATTTGGATTCCTTGGATTTTTGAAAAAAATAAATTTATACAAATCATTGTCGAATGA